AATAACATAATCATAGCAATAACTATGGTATAAGGTTGTAAGGTGCATGAACCGCTAATGCTTTCTGACGATTTAAATGACTTGTTCATAAAATGTTCTTTTAATAATAGTGGTAAAGCTTTTAGCACTAGATGTCAAAAATGCGAAGAATATTGGCTTTTTCAAGTGTTATTTCTTTTCTAGCTAAAGTGTGTTTTAATAATAAATAACACCAAAAGCCAAGGTTATGTGGCTCTTGTCTGAATGGCGCGATCCCAGCTGAAGACTCTTCCCACATATGCAAACAGCTTGACCCCTGTCCGCACAGTTATGTAACGTCCCTAATGTGTTTACTATTTCTTTGTTGAGTTTAACGAGATGTTCCTTTTACCCAGAAAGGTCAGCATAACCTGTAGAAGAATAACGTCACATTAGGTGGGATATTAGGCTGTCACCACTCCATTAGGCTCTCTTCCGACAAAGGGACTGTGCCTTTGTATTGGAAACTGGGCAGACTTGCACCACCACCAGCCTTTCCAAAGAGAGCTGTGCTGGGAAATCAGTCAAAGGCCAGGCAACTACTGAGGGGAAACGAAGATTAAAACATGAAAATCTGATTTTCTTTTCAGTTAAGCATCTTCAGGAATATTTGTCTTTCTGTATCTTCAGGTTATTTGGCGTTACAGGAAACTGCGCTGCCTGCAGTAAGCTCATACCTGCTTTTGAGATGGTGATGAGAGCTAAGGACAATGTTTATCACCTGGACTGTTTTGCATGTCAACTTTGTAATCAGAGGTAAGAGAATGTATTGGGTCTGTTCCATAAACTAAGCATTTATTTGGCTCTATTGTGCGTATGCGTTCATGTGAAGAGGAAGCATCTACCAGTCTTGGAAGCCCAAGATTAAGACCAGGATACTTTCCATGGGTCTGAAGCAGAACATCTTTTATGACCTTGGCCAGAAGACTTTTTGTGCCTCAAATCCCACACCAATAAGCAAGAGTAATGTTGCTTCCTCTTGCTTCAGAAGGCTGTCTGTCAAGTTTAATTAATTAATATTTTAAAGGACTTTGAGATCCTTTGCTGTAGAAGAAAGAGCTATATCATTTGTCACTATTGCATTAATTTCATATGAATTCTTCATTTTTGTCGCACGTATTTCTTTTAATTTACATTATGTCTCTTCCTGTTGACGGAACTGTGGTCAGTTAAATTTACAAGATGTTGTTCCCACCATTTTCTCTGTACCATCATTGGGCTTCCTTTGCCCTCTTTTCACTTCCATCTCTTGACTGTAGCTTATAGAAGGATCCAAACCAGACATTTTGTTCTGAAGAGTCATGTATACAGTTGCAGAAGAAAGGCCAAAAATGGTAAAATTACAAAAACTGCATTTTTCAGAGGCATTTATGGCTAACTCAGTGTAACAACATTCAGACTGATGGCCAAATCCTATTAGAGAAGTTGCTAGCAGCTTTCCCATTGACTTCTATGGGGTCTAGGCAATGATAGAACCAATTATGTCCACTCCTTAATGTACTCATTATGTTTTTTCAATTATTACATAATCCAATTTAGAATTTTATAGCAATCTTTTTTTTTTTTTTCCTTTTTTTCTTTCTTTTTTTTCCTTTTTTTTTCCCCAAGTGGGAAGAAAAATGAGATGTACATTCCTAGGAAGTAATAGCAAATTAGGAAGACAGTAGTCTAACACAACAAAGGTAGATACAGCTCTAAATAAGCTTTGCTAACTCACCTTGTCCTACAGTATGTTATTTTGTAACACTGTAGTCATTTAAAAATCAAACATCCCTAAAGAACTATAAAATGTACAGCTGCTAATAATTGTAACACACTACAATTACACTCTTTAAAAAAAAAAACCAAATTGACCTTTTTCATCATGTTGCATGGGAAATTAAAATACCAGGCAAGTAATAACCACTGCTTAAACTATATAATAATGCAAAGTAATTATAGGTTCTAATGCTGTTTAAAGTCCTATATCAATTTTGCCTTGCCACAAAACTAAAAGACTGCATTCCAAGCAAGGCAGGCAGAGCCTCCCAGTAGAACCCACTCAAGACTCACACATATGACTAGGTTTCGTTTCTTAAACCCTTCACATCCATTTTTGCAAACCGCTATTCTAGTATCATTATTAAAGTGCCTAATATATTTCTGTTGTTCGCTTCATTTATTACATGCCATAATGGGGCTGCATATCTTTAGTGTTGGTTATGCACAATTAGCACTTAGTTATTGTCTTGTCACTTCAGCCCATACAAGACAAACTTCTTTAATGCAAGAAGTCAGCTAATCTTCATCAGTCAAGCAAAGCAGACAATGTTTGGTACCCTGAGTACAAAAGATTTTCATTATAGTTAGCGCTCTTGGATCTGAAGAAGTGAACTTTCTTTTTCTTGCCCTGAAAAAGCAAAGCTGTCATGATTATTTTTAATATTCCTCCTTTACCGAAACAAGTGTGAACTAATGCACAATTTCACTTTGCAGCTCGTATGCGTCGCGCTCTGCCCTAACACCACTTACTCCCACTGGAGAAGTGCTGTAAGGTGTTTCTGAAGTGGAGCATGCCAGGGACATTTTATAATTCTTAGCCATATCATCCCTGAGCCTTCAATCTAGTCTCTTATTTTTTATTTTGCGTGTAATTTGGACAAATGGATAGTTTTATGAGAGCCTTAGATTGGGAATGTAGGAATTGATTTACCTGAAATACAATCAAATTCACCTACTCAAAACAGGGAGCAGCTCTAGAACTTTCAATGAATTTCAGAAATTCTCAAAAGTAGCCCTAATCCTGAGTATAATGCAATAGCTCTCAAGGATACTAATAAAACATGCTGCCTGTAGGGTACCTTTTTTTCCTCACAGTTTGGGGCTAGTGGCACTCTGAAGAATTAATTTTGTTTTTATGTAATAAATCTTATTTTGTGGATGCTCCAGTTTAGCTCCTCTGTGGTTCCTATGGCAAGGCATTCCACTGACTACACTCTCTCATTAATAATGGCTTTAAATCTTTTGTTTTTTCATTACTTGCATAATAAAAATAGAAACTATCAGTGCTAGACACTGGCCCATCACCACTATTTTATATATATATATTTCTACTATGGAACATCTTTCTTTTCTTCTAAATTGAATAATCTTGTCAGTCAACATGCCATTAATAATTTCTCTTATGCTTCTCAGCAGCCTTTTTTCTTCCTCTAGTTAAGACAGAGGAATTAAAACCAAATAGCAGACTTCAGGTGAGGATAGGTTTACAAGATAGCAGTTTTGTTTTATTTCTTTATTCCGTGCTGCTCCTTGCACTCAAAATAATCTTCTTCAGTTGAGTGCCTGGATCTGCTCTTCGTTTTCATTCCAGCCACAATCCATAGCATGGTATTTATTGAAGAGAAATATTTTTATTTACAAGCAAAGTCACCAGCAGTATAGAAAAATTACCAACCAAACTAGGAAGGCTCACCAGCTATGGCCAGATGTACATGTTTAACTTTATTCACCATCTTTATTTTCTACTCTTAATTTCTTTGGGATGTTCCTTACACTGATAAAAGCACACCACGTCTGGAGTACTACTGCAAAGCCTGTAGTGCTCTGTTGAGCTCCGTGTTTGAGATTTTTGAGATTTACAGTTCCTGTCTACCATTTTCTGAACAGAACATATGTAACGTTCATAAGCAAACTGAATAATTTCTTCAGTCTTCATTACTTTGTGTTCACCAATGGTGAATGTCTTCTGTCAAGTTGTCCTTGGTTGTGTTCCTTCCTTTGTGCTCTACTTTCCAAAGTAACTACTAATTATATTAGTTCACATCACACTGATCCTCGGAATGGCCAGGTTTTCAGGCTTACCATGGCATGACCCTTGTATTCCCACTGTTCAAACAGTTGATTCCGGCCTAGTGAAAACGAAACTTGACCATCATCAATGCTTTTTGAGACAGATTCAGTCATTTTTCTGCTTTTCTGCACAGCTTTTCTGTTTGCTTTACTGTTTCTGAGCATCTTACCATACCACTCAAGTTTCAGTGTGGATGGCTGTTAGACCCTCATTTTCAAGGGACCCTTTTTGGGCCATAAACTCCATCTCTGAACTAAGCTATAATGTATCTGTCCCACTTTATTGGCCTCTTGAAAACTAGATTCAGAGTAAGAAGAAAACATTGTTGTCTCATATGATGTACTCTGAGAACATCATGTGGCAGAATTCCAGATGTAAGGGATCTCCTGAGCCACCAAGTCCTGTTCCATGGTATCCAATAGACAGTGTGGCATATTTTCTATTTCATAAAGCTGTTCAGCTCTGCCATCTAATTGCTCTGTCCAGACAGTTTTTGACATTTTCCTCTTTTTTTTCTTGCTCCTGATGTTTAAAGCAGTAGAGATTTTGTTCTGCTCCCAGCCTAAAGGTTTTAGCACCCCCCCTTATCTTTCTTGTCTCTGTCCTGTTTACTAATTTGAACTTCTTTCATCTTCTAAATATTTGCAAAGCTTAGTAACAATCATCTTAATGGTTTGAATGCTCCCCTTTCTGCTCTGTAACCACATTAAACACCTCCACAGAAGCACTTCCCCTCTCTTTGGCAGTAGTCCCCATATCATTGATTTCTGCAGAAAATTTAAAAAAAAGAACGAAAAAAGATGGGAACCACTGGAAAAATAAATAAACTCGTAAACAGACACTGCCTTTCACACTTTGTCAGCTTGCATTGTGTGACTGGCAAAATAGAGTGGAAAATCTTGCAAGTGGGCTCAGCTGCATCTTTGCTTGACACTTCTGACTGCAGCAATGATCTCAGCCTGCCTTTGGCTTTTCCACTTTCCAGAGTTTCGACGTCCTTCCTTTCAATTTCTGCAGCTGCTTTAGCAGCTTGTTTCATACTGCTGCCATAATTTTTGTCTGCCTCTGAAGTCAACTTGGGGTATGGTTTAAAACTCCCATCTGCTATCAGCGAGGGGCATTTAAATCAACTGCTCTCTCCTTCTATCTGAAGCAACCTTTATTTTAATGGACACTGGGCTGAAAATGGTTATATACGCATTCAAATCACTGTCCTGATGTAGCTGTAGACACTTCTTTCTGGTATCAAATGTAAAATGCCCACACAGTGCTGCCTTTGTTCTCTATCAAGGTGGGGGAGAATGTGATGCTAGAAACGTGCTTATTTAAACACCGGTGTTAGATTTTTGTTTGTGCATTCAGCTTACTAATTCTGAAAACCTCAGAACTGTTTATTTTCAATTATTATCTTTAAATTTAGAATAAAAATTAATGTATCCTTCATGTTTGCTTTTTAAAAAATAATAAGAAGCAGACCACATTGAGGTTAGTTACTGTAAATTGTTCAGTTCTATGCATTACATTATATATTCTGTGTATATGTAGTGCATCTTACTGGTAAAAATACACAAATCCAGCCACAGCTTACACTTTCCAGCCTTTGATAATAAATGGACTCTTTGACAGAATACTAAAATTAGTAAACCATAGGTGCAGACTAATGAACTGAGTGATATACAAGAGTGGTTTAGTTCTACTAGTGCTATGTGCAGATTAACATTGACTTGAGTTACATTGGAAACTAAGATTAGCTTTTAAAAAAAGGAAAGGAAGACAAACAGAAGACAAGTTACATCCCTGAGTATAAAAAGCAGAGTGGAAGGATGTGGGTGGAGTAAGTCTGGGCTGAGGGAAAACAAATAAATGCTTCCAGATTTTATTTCTGTCTACCACAAAGATGCAGCATTACCGAGGAACACTTCACACGCAGCCATCTTTGTTCACAGCAGTATTTCTCTCACTTTCTTAAGTTTTCAGTACCTTGACATGCACCCCGTACATCAGAAAAGATGACAGACAGTAGTGAGATCTCCTTAAATGTCTTTTCTGAACAGTGAAATTGCTATTTCTCAAAATTGAAGTTTTATACTACTTTTGATTAGTCTAGGAACACCTTCCCCCTCCAAACAAGGTGATAATAGAGGTCGTTTTGTAATATAAATGGCCCTCCTTCTGCCATTGTGAAATATGACAGGAGTTCTAGAATGTAGCTTAATTATAATGGCCATTCTACTAATGTCACAGTCATGTCAAAAGTAGTGTTATCAATGTATGGGGGTAAGTCCAATCTGGCATGTTAATGCTGCCTATTGTATATTTTTCCCGTTCATCCTGCATGCCTATTAAATAAATTGGGTGAGGGTTTTAGGAAAGGCTGAAGACTACCATCTGCCTGCTAGAAGAGTAATAGTCTTGCCTCATTATATACTCCTAACCCAGTTGCATCTCAATATGCTCCTTGACTCTGTTTGATGTATGTGCCCAAACTGTGTCCTGATTTACATCCTATGTCAATTCCGTGACGAAAACATTTACCAGAGGTGGAAGGCAAGGCTTGAATTTGCCCTTCCATTTTAAACCTGATCCAGGTTTAAATCCTGGCATGTGCAAAAGCAGTCTGAAGGAGTTACAAGATTTAGCTCTTTGGCTTCAGAAGAAGGTAAATCTGGTTTTCAGAGTCAGATACGGTTGAAAGTGTGGAACACGTTGGACAGAATTTGCTGCATTTTGTCTGTATCTTACCTTTTCACGTACGCAGGAGCTAGCATACCACATTTAGATGTTTTTCACCTGGTTCTTACCTCCTCATCACCTAATGAATGTGTAAATCATACATTTAGTACTCAGGGATACACACAAGTCTCACCATGGTCTTAGACAATGTGCTTCAGTCACTGAGCTTACATGAAAGTGGGTGCAGAATTTGGACTACAGGTATGGCAAGAAGCAGGTTTCCCCCCAGGCACAGTGGCTCTCCTCTCAGTGTGCAAACCTAGCCCCAGATGAACCTGAGAGCATCTTCCCATGCAGACAGACTCTCACCCCACAGGTTATCACACAGCCCAGCCTGTCTGGGCAAGCCACAGGCAGCCTCTGTGCAAGACAGCTGCACACTCAGAAGGTAAATGATTTGTGGAACCATGTGTGTTTAAAGCCACTCATGCATAGAGCTGTCAAATGCCTTGTAGACATAGGTAGAGCATTTCTGGCTCGACATATTAACATAGCAAAAGCAAAACACATTGACACTTTTTATTGGGAAAGGCAACCTGACTCCCTCATGTAGATAGTGTACTTTAGTACAAACTGTGGCTGAGAAACAAAATCCTTCAGCCACGATTTTGATGGGAGTGATACAGTAAGAAGCTGTCTGTAAAAGTACTGCCATGCAAGTGAACTTCATTTAGCAATGTATTTTTCCATTGGTTAAATAAACAAACCATGCCGATAAGCTCTATGTTGCACTAGATCACAAAGGAGCATGTAGCTGAATAATCCCCAGTTTAGAGTTGATGCCTTTTCTGGATGGGCATCTCAGCTTTGAGCTCCATCAGTAGTTGTTGGGGTAATTCCAGTGGGGTTGCTGATTTGCAACAATACCTTATTTCCTCTGCTTCATACTCATCTATAGGTTCGTTTAAGAGAAAATAAGATGGATTTTTTTAATTGATTTTTTATTTTTATGTGACTTCTTTGGGGGGGGGAAAACAAAAAGTCTTCAGGTACTAGCACTAGTTAAGACTCATTGACCTAATATAAGAAAATGCACAAAAAAAAAATTCTGTTTGGAATACTTTTTGTGGACAAGGACACATAAGATGGAAACTAGAGAAACCCATGAAGAACTTGCTTGCTTCAAGGATTTCACCACGTATCCCCAAAATACTTCTTTGTTGTTGGCTGCCCAGTGTAACAGGATTGGGGTGGGAAGGACAGAAGGAACATGTAAATTCTGTAAAACTGTCTTGACCATAAATAAAGATTTTGGGATCATTCCATAATCTCAATTTTCAATCATCATCAGCAGCAGGCAGTAATCCTAGAGAAAAAAAGTCCACAAATAAACAAACCAATTTTCCTTTAAGAGCAGAGCTAATTCTTTTCAATCCACTTTTTTATTACACTATTTTCCCTCTATCTATTTAGCTAGCATAAGGATAAATTTCCAAAGCTACCCAGTTGGAAAATAAATGGGTTCACTGTTTGTCTAGCATTCCAATCTTCACAAATGTAAATCAGTCCAACTGCTACTCATTTAAACCTCCAACTTCACAAAACATTAAAGGACTGCTTTCAATACACAGTTTAATCTGTGACAATTCACCAAGTTTTCTGCTTGAACATCATTAGGAATTGACTATCTGATAAAGAGAGACCACTATCAGAGGTCACGCAGGTCAACTTGTGTAATTTACGTAGTTTTACTGGGTCAACTAAGGCAGGCACCACCATGTGAAGGTTAAATTGTTACAATTAAATACATATACAGCTATTCCCATAGCTACTCTGTTGTTAAATCTACCGCAAACAGCACAAGCATTTATATCTGACCCTAATCGTGTCCAAGATGTCACCATTTGAAAATTATACAAAAAAAGGACATTATAATCTGTTACACATTAAACAATACTGTATGTAGTAAGATCCATAATTAGCGGGTAGAAACTGGTTTCATTCATTCACATCAGTGTTAAGGGGTTCATTTAGGTTACTTTCTTTCATTTTAATTGGAATAATGTGAGCAGTGCCTCCCCATATATTTTACAGCTGAAGAGTTCACCATAAACAAAAGAATGTAACCCTGCCAAGGCAGTCACTAGGGAAACTGTTTTTCTATACATTGGCCCTATTCACTTGTTCCCCAAGCATCTTCAAGAACACCAGCTTTGCTGGAGGGAAGGGTTGAGGAGGTGTTGGTGAAGAGCCTCCTCACGCTCAAGAGTGTTGCTTAGCTGGGAAATACCACTTTGCTCCAAGTTTGAAGCCAGACAGCCAGCAGTGCTAACGTTATGTGATTTTCCTACCCATCAGAGAAAATCAAATGAAATAATTCATAGCATTTTGTAGCAATCGGATCATTCTGATGCACATAATAGCGTAAAAAGCTATGTATACTGATACCACAAGAGAGAAAGTAGTTAGCTGACTGACTAAATTTATAATCAATTGCTACAGGAGAGAAGAAGGAAAAAAAAGGTTTCTCTGCATACCTGTGTATGTGTCTCTGGTTTGCATCACAATATGCAGAAAGCTTTTTTTATACTAGGAAAGGTTCTCAGAAACACCGGTTTAAATCAATTCTAGTTAAATATTCAACTGGAATATAAAGCAAGAAATTCTTACTGCTGTGTCTGTACAACATAAATATGATGCATCTCAGGTGGGCATTCTCCTCTATATGATCACTTTGTTTTCCTTCTGATTTGTGTGGAAGCAGTACATTTACTTTTCACTCAACTCAGTAGCCTTAGCTATTTATTCTGTTTTATCTGCCTGCTGATGACCTGATCCAAGACTCCCACAGTCTTTGGTGGACTTTGAATGAAGCCTTTGGCTGGGGAAGCAAAAGCACTGATACACACCAAGCTTTTTGAAAGCACGGACTGGATTCTGCTACCAGGCCAATTCCTCTGTTGAGCTCTCGCAGGCACGCGTTGTCTGTCTATCTGTGCTGCAGCAGACGGCAGAGATGTGAGCCTGTGGTGGGTACAGTAAAATCGTGAACACTTGTTGTGCATTCCTTATGTTTAAGACTTTGTCATATGATTCGCTCTCGAACTACCTTTATTTTTTGCTTTTACTGTAATTTCAGATTTTGCGTTGGAGACAAATTTTTCCTGAAGAACAACATGATTCTGTGCCAGACAGACTATGAGGAGGGTTTGATGAAAGAAGGTTATGCACCCCAGGTTCGCTGATCTGATGCCGCACCGTTAAGAATACAAAGCACTATGTTCTTTTATCTTTTTTGCTCAACATGTATATAAGAAATGACACAGGAACCTACTGAATAGCGTAGATATAGGGAGACAGAATGGTTGCGTGAAATAAAAGGCGGACTGCATCTGTATGTAGTGAAAATTGCTCCAGTTCAGAGTTGAATGTTAATTAAAAAGGTACTGTACATACAGCTGGATTCTTTTGCTTGCTATTGGGGTTTTTGGTTTATTTGTTCGGGCTTTTTGTTTGTTTCTTTTTGTGTCACTTGGCATGAGATGTTTATTTTGGACTATTGTATATAATGTATTGTAATATTTGAAGCACAAATGTAATACAGTTTTATTGTGTTACCATTTGTGTTCCTGTTTGCTTCTTTGTATTGTTGCATTTAGTACAATCAGTGTCTAAACTTACTGTATATTTATGCTTTCTGTATCTATCAGCTATTTTAAATGAGCTGTATCTTTCTAGTAAAAGGAATTAAAGAGCAAATCCCAACCATTATGCTACACGTAGAGCTTAAGAATACTGTTTACATTAAAACTATTTAGAAAGCTAATAACTCTAGCAGCACCTGCTGCTATTGATGCTATGGTTAAGGGTCTATCAGCACTTCTGTTATAAGCCTCTATTTTTCAGGGGTTAAGCATCTGCTGTTTAATTGCAAAGATTTTCCTCAAAGAGCACTTTTATTTTACTACAAAATTTTGAAAAGGAAATCTGACTGTTTTGGGATATATTATAAAAGGTACAAAAGTTAATGATCTTGGGTGCTGCTTTTGTGCCCCTCAGGCATTCAGAATGCCTGGATTTGGTTTTTAATTTTGCTGTAAATTAAGTCCTAATGCAAGCCAGTGCCTCTGGGTATCTTATTTTATATATATATATATAAATATATATATGTTATTTTTCTGAGCACATTTAATTTGAAGGCGGGGAGAAAAGGGAGAGTACTTTGTTTATGTGCAATTTTATTTTTTTCAATACAAAAGGGTTCCACTTTCTTTCCTCTCTCTTTTTTTATTTTATTATTTTACTTTTTTAAAATTGGGGTTTAACCCTCAAGGTCTGTTTCAAGGTCTGTGTCCTCAGCAGACCCTGGAAAATACTTAACCTAGAAGGCACTGTAAGCAGCCCCCTCTAAGGGTCTATTTGCATCAAGGAAAGGACCCTGAGCTGGCACTAGGAAAGTGGCTGCTCTCTGGGACCTGCCTCAGTGCGTGCTGAAGGTAATTTAAATTCTGATATAGATGGGACAAAACTTTGAAGTACCACTACGGAAAGTGAGGGCTACCACAGTCAACCCCACAAGTACTTCGTTCCTGAGAACATTCCATAGCTTTGTCCCATCAAAACTGGCAATTAAAATCTTTTTGACCAAGGAAGAGTTATTGCTGACACCTACTGTCGCCAGTCGGCCCATTTTCTAGGAGAGGTGGACCTGTGTTTTTAAAGCCATGAAGCTATTGCATCAGCAGGATGTCCTTAAGTGCTCATACCCCTGACAGAGCTTACAGGTGTTTGGCATTGGAAACAAGATGAATGTTTAAAAAGCTGTTACACGCCTATTTAATTCCTTTCTCTTTGCCACTGTCATCTAGCTCACCAGGAAACAGCCTGCATTTGAAAAAACAACATACACACAAAAAAAGAAACATCCAATATCCTATATTGCTATGAAGCTGAGCTCTTGTATTTGTTTAGCCTGAGAGCCCTCAACTTTGCTGAAGTTCACAGCTGTCCTTCCCAGCTCTCCCTGTCCCTTTGTTCCAACGTATTTTTCCTAAGGATGGGGAAAGTAACGCTGTAATGCAGTGGGGTAACTCCTTTAGGGTGTGGTTTTGAGTACACTGCACGGTGGATTGAGTTAGAAATGATATTTAGTTCTAATGACTATTGTTACTGTGTGCTTTTGTTTCTGGCTGTGAACCCTTTTAAAAATAAGCATGACTCACATAACTTGGCTTTACCCATACAGGACCAGAAAGAAATGAAAAGACTCATCAGGCTGTTCTTGCTAATTGGAAGAAATAGTTTCAGACAGCTTTTTAAATGAAATTTAGCCCTACTTTGAGAACTCTCTTCCTTCCCACCACAAGTCTCTCTTCCATTCCCTTCCAGTCTCTTAATGTCTTTAAGGCACCAATGCAGCAGAGGTACTATTGGGCTCTTCCAGGTAATCTTCAAGTGCAATAAACATCTTGTCTTCTCCATGAAGGTAAGGATGTCTAAAAGGGGAAAAGTATTATTTTTATTCCAATTTCAATTTTCTCTTCTGGCCACTGTCGTTTATTCCAGTTAGAAGCCAGAAGGAGTTCATTTGAGCTTTCCTCTGGTAGATTACAGACTAGATAGAAGTCCCTGGTTCAGAAGTAGGGCTGGGGAATAGGAAGTAAAGGACCTTGGTTCTATCTTTGACTTGCTATAAGCTTGGGCAAGTCACTCAACTTCTCTGTGCCTCAGTTGCCCCCATCTGCCAAGTGGGGCTAAATACATATACTGCTTTTGTAAAGCAGTTCAGCTCTACAGAAAATCAAGAGCTATGCATGCAAAAATGTTACTAGCAGCATTAGGACATTCTGGGAAATTCAGAACATTCATATGTGCAGTAAGTAACCATGGATCTGAGGTAGGAGAGCACCAAAACCATCTGATCTGCAAGAGGTTTGTTGGGGATGAAGGTAAATACATCTAGCAGAGCTGTAAATGCTGTAGCACTTGACCACAAAGTGCATCTGCTCAGCTCTGTGTAGGGTAAATGGAGAGAGTGAAATGGGAAAATAGCAGCTCATTGGTACATGCAGTGTTACTCATATGTACACGTGTGCATTTTGTGATATGTTGCTCAATATGGAGAAGAGAATGGTGGTCTTGCTACAGAGGAAAAAAAATTAGTCTCAGAGTTCTATCAGTCCTAGCTGATTTGCGGATCAAAAAACATTGATATGCATGTTTGAAGTGCTGCAACGTGATCATATGGCATTGCTCTGAGCACTCTGATCATCTGTATCTTAATCACTTAATATCTAGAATTAGTATGCAGAGATATAAATGTAGATTTGAGGTAGGTCAAAGATTGATTACACTTTTTTCCTGTATTTCAAACTTATATCTTGCCTGGCTGTTAAAATAATAGCTGGGAGTTGATATATTTAATGGAAACATTTACAGCACTGCAGTATAATATCATAAGACAATATTAAAAGAGACTATCTGCCAGACCGCCTTATTGATCTTCTTGATTGAAGCCCAGACCATTCCTTGGGGTTTTTTCTTAGCTTTTCTTCTCCATCACTGTCCGTGTCAACATGCTGTATTGGTATGTAGTAGAATGTTCTGCTACTGACCACTGTTCAGTGTATGCTTATTTGCCAGACAAGATTGCTTCCACTTGCATCTCCTGTCTTTAGGGTATTTTAACTCTATCTCTACAGATCTCCAAGTTAGCCAGTCCAACAACAGCGACAACAACAAAAAACACAACACTGTTATTCTTGAGCTCCTGTTTTTTAAGCCACATGGAGGTTATAACTGTAACTTTTTCAACTGTAGAAAGCTCCTCTGCTGATCACGACATGCTATGTCTTACTGTGCCACAATTAGCAATGCATCAAGATGGCCTGGATTCTGCAGGAGCTGTGACCAGGGCTAAGAGTCGATCTGTTTCTTAACTGTATTTTTATCTTGCTTAACTTTTTTTTTTTAAATATAAGCATATCTTCATGCCTCTTCCTGCCACCCCCCCCCCCCCCCCAAATGCTCAAATTTATGCTCATGTAATGTAAATAAAGAAAATTCATCCTCCACCCCCTCAAGTGTTCCTAATTGCCTATATGTAAAATGAGGAAAATCGATTGAAAAGTGGTCAGTGAGAAGGGAGAATGTGGGGAAAAGAAACAAACAAACAGGGACTCTGGTAGGATTTAGCCTGTATAAAGTACTTTAAAGGCTTTTTTCTACATAATATACAGCAGCTTCTTATAATTTTCTCAGCAGTAGGTAGTTTACAGTCATCTGTACCTAGAACAAATCTTGTCAAAAATGAAGGTCTGTAGTGATTGCTGGGTATAATTTTATACATTTAGCTGATTCTTCTGAAAGCTTCCACTGTGCTGCTGTTGTCAGACTAAATTATCAATTTAGCCATTTGTTGTTTAATGAATAAAAAACTCCTATGGCATTGAAGATGTTGTGGTTTCAATAAAGCAAAAGCTTTAACAATTCAAGCTACAGAAAGCAAAGTGTGTACTGTATATAAGAACAGTGTTTTTATTCTTTTAAATACCACTTTAGATAAAAAAGCCAATTACATATTCACTTAATACATTTCTCCTACTTCAGTCCAATGATGCAGACCAAACCTGTTTACTGTTCACTTCAGTACCTTGCAAAAGGAAACCAAAATACAGTATGTGCAACGTAATAGGCCATTAGCACAAACATGCTCCCAGTAAAAATCTTTTGTACAGGCACCCTTTCTAGAAGCTGCCAATTGTGGGTGATAGAAGTATTATAAAGAAAGTGATTTTAATACTATTTAAGGCATTAAAAGCTTCAGAGTATCTGTTTAAAGCCTTAAAGTAATGGTTGCATGTATCTAATACCTTTTAAAATGCCCTTCTGTTGATTTATATTCATCCTCAACCTGCTAATAATGAGGATACATAAGCAAAAACCATCTTCCACCTATTCAGCGTGTCATTGGTATGAAAGCCCCAGAAAATATCTCACGTAATCAGCGTGTTCAGAGAGTTATCTAGCACAAATTACTCATTAACTCAATAGCACATAATAAAAAAGAACATCAATTAATTAATGAGTCACCCTCAGATCACTTTGATTACAACACAGCTCTGTTGAAACAGCAGTTATAAATGGAGCTGCCTCTCTTTATTCATTGTTTGCAATTGGCCCATTATTTTGCGGAGACCAGTGTCATATTTAACACATGCCTGCAGGTAATTGTGTGATTAGTTTCATAAATGGAGATGCAGAGGGAGAACACGGAGCAGTCACTGCAGGCGAGTGGAAGGGATGGGAATGCAGAGCGCTTCCTAGTAGTGGAAGCGGGCCAGCAGGCCTCCATGGCGCAGAGGAGGCCGACCTCCTGTTTGCACGCTGCTAGCTGCAGGTCAGTGCTTAAAGCTGCTATGGCCTGCTTTACCTTAAGGTAAAGATCACAGAGCGCTGTGCTCATGCTTCTGACTTGG